TTTCAAAAAGAAAACCCAAAACAAAAAAGTCCAAAGCTTAATGGAATCTCAACACAAAGAGGATATTATTAAATGTTCACATAAATTCTTTAAGAGAGTCGTAAATTATACTAAAATTGATTTTGATAAAGAGGAATTGAGTTTATTAAACAAAGGGTTAAATTTCAATTTTCCTGACAGTAAGAAAAACAGTTTAGTCACTGAGCTGTTGGATACTGAGACTTCAATCAAACAAATTAGAACCAACGAAGTACGAGAAGCTACTAGAATTATCATAGGCAATAAAGCTAGATGCATTGCAAAAACTGCCCCACGCACAGGAAAACACAGGAAGTTCAATGCTATGAGGCGGGTCCTAGCGAGCGTCAAGCACAAGCTTGCCGAGAACAATGCTCTTATCACTAAGGCCGATAAAGGCAACTCAATTGTCATCTTATACATTGAAGAATACACAAATAAAGTAAAAAGTTTCTTAAACGCCAATAAAATAGATATTCTAAATAAAGATCCCACCTTAAATTACAGCAAGTTGATAAATAGAGCAATTTCCGAAAGTAAAAATCTATTATCAAAAAACGATATTGCGGCATTGAAAGTTACTAATCCACAAGCCCCCATACTCAGAGGCCTACCCAAGATCCATAAAACTGATGTCCCAATTAGGCCCCTTATGAATTTCATGCCAAGTCCAGCTTACAAAATAGCCAAGAAGTTAGATCAAATAATAAAGGATCAAATAGTTTTGGAAAATAGTCATAGCATAAAAAATAGTCTAGAACTTGTTGATAAAATTAAGAACCATGCTGTCAAAGACAACTACAAATTGGCATCATTTGACATTGTCAATTTGTACACCAATGTACCCGTCCAAGAAACAATCACATTATTGCACCAAAACCTAATTAAAAACTCAAATCTATCTACAGAGTCAATAAATGAGTTAGTTTCACTCACTAAATTGGTACTAAATCAGAATTACTTCCGTTTTAACAACAACTATTATTCACAGAAAGATGGACTGGCAATGGGTTCCCCCCTCTCCAGTATTTTGGCAGAAATTTTTCTCAACAACCTGGAAAATAAACATCTGTTTTCTGAAGCCAACCGTTACAGGGAAAAAATTCTGTTCTATTTTCGATATGTAGATGATACTATTGTTTTGTTCAACGGCAACAGTAGACAGTTGTCGTTACTCAACTCATACTTATGTAATATTCACAACAACATAAAATTTACATTGGAGGAAGAAAGCCATAATCGTTTAAATTTTCTAGACCTCACCATAATAAAACATCAAAATAAGTTGGAGTTCAAAATATTCAGGAAACCAACATGCACTGACCAGACCATTAATTTTGAATCCCATCATCCTTACTCACAAAAACTAGCTGCGTACAACAGTTTTGTCCACCGTTTGCTCACAATTCCAATGAATGAACAGGATTATAATGAAGAATTAAATACAATCAAATACATAGCTGTAGCAAATGGTTATCCAAGCATTATTATTGATAAACTCATCTTCAAACATAAAAATAAAACAGGAACCAAAAAACAGAAAAACTACATCTCTGCAAAATATGGCACCTTCATGAGTAACAAATTTAAAAATCTTATGACAAAAAACAATATTACAGTTTCATTCAGAACAGAAAACAAACTTGGCGCATTGTTAAAAGAGCGCAGTCCTTCATTGACACAACCCTTAGACAGATCCGGCGTATACAAGATCAATTGTACCGATTGTACTAAATTTTACATCGGCCAGACAGCACGCTCCTTTACAAAACGTTTCAAGGAACATCTCCCAAAAGCGTCAACAGTACACCAGACATCATCCTTTGCAGAACATTTAATTTCTCAAGGCCATAATTATACCAGCATTAGTAACAACATGAATATTTTACATTTCTCTAGAGACAGATTTAAATTAAACACCTTAGAAGAGTTTGAGATTTATAAGGCTGTAACATCCAACCACGAAAATGTGTTAAATGACCAACTAACGTTTTCGTCCAATTTTATATATGACAATGCCATAAGGATACTGGAGAGTGGAAGTGTGTTAGACAGGACTAGGACCTAACCTGAAGTAATAAGATAACGGACGTACACCACTGCAATGACCACCCGCAGTCTGGACTTAAACTCCGTCGGGTTAGCGTCGTCTGTTGTCGTAACTGATCAGTAAATGTTTCGTGTCCGTAACGTGTTTTGTGTCGTGTGTAAATGTTTATTTATTTTTACGTGTTAAATATGACGCTCTTCATATGAAGAAAGAAGATGTCCTTGTACCGCCTGATGATGACTCCACATAGGAGTCGAAACTAGTTGCAACTGCAATTAAATGGATTGCTTGATAGCAGGTATTTAAACCTTTTTAATAATATTTTATTGATTTTTTTATTACTATTGTGCGCTGCTTTCGATTGAATAGGTATGATCGTAATAATTCTAGAGCCATTCCCTCCAAGCCAATATTCTTCAATTTGATCAGCAGCAACCTGTGGTCCACACAGTCAAAAGCCCTGGATAAGTCACAGAAAACTCCTGCAGTCAACTGTGACTGATCCAGAGCTTCAAGGACACTACTAATATAAGTAAAAAGAGCATTATGTGTGCTTAGATTTCTTCTAAAACCAAACTGCTCTTGACACAGTTTTGAGTTACATTCCAGGTAATTTGCAATTCTAATTTTTTCAAAAACTTTTGATACGTTACTGAGTAAAGAAATTTGTCTGTAATTTTTACTGTTATTATGTGTGCCTTTATTTTAAATTGGTCTGATTTCAGACAATTTTAGCAAGTCTTGAAATTCACCCTCACTAAATTATTAATTGATGAGTTTAGCTATAATTGGTATTGTTATATCTTAGTGTTTTACGATTTGTACGCACTTAGATATCACAACAGAATGAAGGACCTGTGTAACAATCTTGACACATAAATAAATATTATTATGAGGTAAATTTAAGTGAATAAGCACAACCACTGTCTGGTAGCTGCTGACACAAAAACTGTCTGACGTAAAGGTCTGAAATATGAGGAATGACAAAAAAACAGTTAGAATGAAAAGACAAACAAAATGAGTAAGTATACCTCAATTGAAAACAGGATGGCAGCGAACGTGTGAATGGTTACAATAATTTGTTAAGACATAGAGTATTTACTATGTAAAGAGATTCCCTAGTGTATGAGAGTAAGATTCAAAGATATCAATGTGGCTCTGTTAATATCTGGACGGCCTTTAGTAGATTTGTCATCCTTATAGATCAGCTGAAGACGATTCGAATTTTAGTTCCGTACGATGCCACTAGGTAGTTTTTATGTTTTCAATTTGTTATATGTTATTTAAGTTATTTAAAACATCGTTTGATCAATTGAAACGATATAATCATAAACAATATCTCTTCCCCTAGTTGTATTAAAATCAAACAGTAAAGCACAAATCATGAACCCTTAAATAATAGAAACTAAATTTAATTGATACTAGCAATCAGTGTTACCAACATGAACTGGATACGAAAAACAAGCTTCAAAATTTGAAATGGAACGAGAAGACTACTTGTGTTGGTTAGTCTATGATCCAGACAACTACTTCACAGCAGTTTGGACAAATGACAAAAAAATAAGTTAGAAATGCACAGCTGTAAATTAAGACAGTTTTGTTGCCCAATTTACAGTTCTTTTTCAGTTTCAAAAATTCAGAGTACCATACAGTATTCAAGCAATTTTCTGTTCAAGAAGTTTCACACAAGGGTACCTAAAAAAAAAGACCTCTAAATACCACTGATTTTCTTGATATTAAATTTTACAGCAAAGCCTAGTTGCTGATTAGGAGTTTTTTGAAAAGGGATTGCATTCAAATAGCTTACCCAAGCAAATGAGACAGGACATAGCACTAGTCCAAATATAAGAACTCTTCAGGAAGTAGATTGAAGATAAAAGTTATTGTAATGCAATTGCCTATCTATTGTTAGCTCCTCGACTATCATTTTCTCAGATAAACTAGCTGAGTCTTTGATAAAACTGTCTTTATACTAATACAAACAACTCGGATACCCAACAAGACTGGATTAGTAAGGGTTTACTGAGCTCAAATATTTGTATAGAATTTTGTTTTCCGTTTAAACAAAGGCTACATTAGTAAATTAAGTTAACGGCTTATAAAGCAGAGCACAAGTTTAATGTCCTCATTAAGCCACTACAGCTAAATCACCAATATTTCTTCTGTGTTGGTGTTTAGACCACAAGTAAGGATTGTTGTGGGTAGTTAAGCTATTTCCGCAGACATTTTTCAGTAAGCTCTAGTTGCAGACCCTTAATCAGGATTAGCCATGATGGATTGCAAAGCTTAGCTGTGAATAGCTACCAAACTGTAGTGTCACACTAAACTTTAATTATTTCCTCATTTTTCAAACCCAAGAGGGTTTAAATTTAATTGTGTCTAGCTTGTTGATTTAACCTCAACAGCTTGATTCGAGTCCAAACAATCACCAATTAATTTTTAATTTCTGAAATGCTTTCAATAAGTTTGTTCAAACCATGATGTACAGTCTAACTTTATTGGAAATTAAATCAGTAGTTCTATTCGCCTAGTAACAGAGGTAGGCCTACATGGATATCACACTGGTTTCATTTTGCCTCGGAAACAAGTTTTGGACCCTAATAAACTGACAATTTGCTCACGTGTCACCTGGTATCAAATTATATCATGTATAGTATCTGTACACAATGATATTAATTTATCTGGGTAGTTAAGTTATTATTTTATTCACCTTAACATCTAAGTTTTGCTGGTTTCAAATTGAGCAAAATAGACTCTGGACCCATATTCTATTTGTTATTGAGCTATAAATAATCAATGTTATCTAATTAAAGTCGACATACAGTATATATACAGTAGGACCAAGACAAGGATTTTGAACATTCTCTAACAAAAACGCAACAAATAGACTAACAATGGCGTAGAAAAACACAAATAAATGTAGTTGACATACCTCGAGTAGCAGGAGGTAGGTTGAGCAAGGTGTTTGAAGGTTGTGTGAGCTGAGTGGAGGTGGTGGCTACATCAGGCATAGACACCGTGGGTCGCAGTGCCGGGGGAGGCCTGTGTAGTGTCCTGGCCGCAGTCACAGTGCCTGTACCTCCTGGACCAATGCTGATCTGCAGATGGGACTGGTAACCCTGGCGGGGGTCGTACGAGCAGCTCGAGTAAGTCAACCCTCCACCCCCGGATCGGATGTCTATGGGCGGCTGAGGGTCGGACGAGGGTGGTCTAAGTGTCAGGTTGACTGAAGTATACGGTCTGGAGGGTTCAGGTAGTCTGTAGTGAGGTGTCGGCTCCACGTCCAATGACGTAGTGTGTCTCACATTCACTGTGACCGGAGGGAGTGGCGGGGGGTTGCTAGGTGTAACAGGGGCCGAGTGCGGAGAACCGTACGACATCACACTCACTCTCGTCCTCTCACAACGACACACATCTTCACTCCCGCACTCCACACCACGCCGCCACTCGTCGCTTATCGACAACCTCGAAAACGCACCAATTTGTTCACCATCGCGTTTATTCAAGAACTCTTCCGAGTATTGTTTGCACATCCGCCGTGCTCCATGCACACACTGTAGACTGTCCAGAGACTGTCGTCCCATGAGTCTGCGGTCAAAGTCCCACACAGTGTCCTCCAGCGGTAGAGTGTCTGGTCTGCAAGACTCCGCGGCCATCCTAGCCACTCTGCCTCTGTACGCCTGGTCTTCCCTACACAGCACTGCCTCACATGCCTCTCTGTCGTGTGAGTTCTGAAACAAACAGTCAGGTTACAGTTGTATTACCTACCAATAGAAATAGAGAAAGTGTGAGTGAAGAATGGGTGTAGGTAGAATGAAGAGAGATGCACTGAGGAGCTTTGTTACTGACTAAGACCAGCTGTTTCATTGACCTCAGCTGTGATTAAGGACAACTGAGCTGATATGTGTCTAAATAATGGGACGTGTTAGTGTACTTAATCAACTTTTAAGATAAGGTGTTTATCCTATCCCATCTTAAATCCTACTAATAATATTATTAGTGAGAATGTTTGGATGTATGGATGGATGAATGTTTGTGACAAGTAAACGCAAAAAATACTAAACCGACATGGTTGAAATTTGTTATGATGATAGCTCACATTCCCGATTAACATATAGACATATTCTTATCTCAAAAATCCTTTCGGGTCAACCCAAGTGGCTCTGGAGTTTTCCATGTTAACCTTATGAGTATGCATATTATTTTAAAGGAATTAAAAAATTTTGTCAGCTGTTTTGGCTGCACAAGTTGGTTCTACGATATTAAAAATTGGGTTTAGGTGCAGTGGTAGAACATTATGGCTATGGTAAATGTGCTATACTATAGGCTAGCATACCGTATAAATTAAAAGAACCAAATATTTTCTTAAGCCGTGTGCTCTCCCATAACTGCAATAAGAGCATCATACCAACCCCATACGAAGGACGGGTAATCTGCTAGTACTGTGTATAAGTGCTTTTTGTCCCTAAAAAAAGCATATGTACAGGCAAACTTTTTTTTCGTCCAAGGATTTTTGGTTCATTTTGTTTAATATGGGGTATTTGGCCACGAGAAATCTATTGGAGTAGGTCACAAGTTGTCTGGGGAAAATTTAGTTTCCGTCCTACAGCCTTTGAAAGTGCCCACCATCGGCAATACCTTTTTGTAGGTGCATTTAACAAAAACAGCTGAAAAAGGTTATTTCATCGTCTTCTTTTTATTTGACATATAAACAAAAATAACTGTTTAATTTGGATTATACATTTTAAAGAATAGTTACGGTATATTTAGTTAAGTTTATTAGGTACACAGTATTAGTGTTAAAGGTTTTCAATTTTAATTTCCAAGATTTGAATGGAAGGCGGAAGACCTCCGAAGCGAAAATATATACAGAATCTGCAAGGGAGAGAAGGTACAATCGATCGTCAGGGAACAAACTTTACCACTTTGTACAACGAGCCAGTCCCAACCAGTTCATACATCTCACCAAATGTTGCAAAACCTCGGTCAATTTGCACATCGAAGACTAAAAGTAGAGATATAATTTCAGATATGGCCAAGCAATTAGATAAACAACAGGCCTTGAGCAGACTGTAATTTCTCAAACCTATAAAATTTTCATGTCACCGGATGAGAGATATTATTGAAGAAGCATTTGGCGCCCAAACAGCAAATGGACAATTCGAAGATTTCAAATACCGTGCTATTCTTGCTCCACTTAATGCTGATATTGGAATTGGAAAGAAAAATAACAAAATAATCCAAATTGTACTGGGCAATGAGGTTTACAAAAGTTTCAATTCAATTGAAGACCAAGCAGACCCCCTACAATTTACGCCTGAATTCCTGAACTCCATTGACATTAGTGATTTTGCAAGCATGGACTAAATTTCAAGGAGGCAACATTAATGTTATTGCAAAACGTACTGAAGGTATGTGCAACGGAACTCAATGGTAAAAGAACTATTAAGGCCAAAATAATCACAGGATAGCATTTTGGAAGAATTGTTCACATTCCACAAATCACCTTAGATTCAATTAAGTCCCATCTAAGAAATATAATGCAGCGTCATCAGTTTCCCATACGTCAAGCATTCGCAATGAACATATACAAGAGCCAAGGATAAAAACTGTAATTCGTAGGTTGATAATAATCACCATGGTTTTCATGCATGGTGTGCTTTACGTGGCCTACTATTGGGTTAACAGAAACGTCTTGAGGATTGTCTCACTGCCAACAAATCCTACTCACACGAGTGTTCAGTGTAGTGGAGAGAAGCTATAAACAATGCTCCTCCAATCCCGTCATCAAACCGATCAAAATGGAAGTTGAAACGTAAAACATATAGTGTGGATTGCAATGTATTTATAACAAGGTGTATGTGTGTAGGTGTACAAATAAAATGTTTTATTTGTATAATCTCAAATATTCTCACATTTATTAGATAATAGATTTTTTTTATTTAACCTAATTAACTTATCTAATAAATGTTTAATTCAATCCGAGCAAAACACAGTACATTGTATAAAATGTGCTATTCACTAGTCCCTGGAAATACTTTTTAAAAAAATGTCCAAAGATCAGACATAAAGAAGTATTCATGGTGTTATAATATATTATTCGCTTCTTGGCTACCCATTTATGATTGTACCCCTCAAAACAAAGTAATTTGAAAATTATAATAATTTTATAATGGTTTTGGTTAGTGTATTACTTTCTAACCCTACACCATAGTATATGGAGAAAGTATTGTTTTTGTCAACATTTTCGAGTTTGAGTTTTGAGTGGATATATCGTTTTGGATCCCCCTGGACCCAAAAAAATGGTTTTCGAAGTGATTTCTGTGTGTGTGTGTGTGTGTGTGCTGTCTGTATAGTCAACAGGTTTGCTGGGGCGGAAGTATTTTTTTTTTTTAATTTTGATATTTAATAGGTATCTATCTATATATATAAAAGGCACAGCCCTCACTGACTGACTGACTCACTCATCACTAATTCTCCCACTTCCCACTTACCTAGAAGGCTGAAATTTGGTACACTGATTCTTTAGGCATTAAATAGGAAAACTAAGTGGTTTTTATTCTGATCGGACTCTCGGGCTCCGCCCCAGTGGCTCTGGAGTTTCCCATGTTAACCTAATGAGTACTCATATTTAAATGGAATAAATGAATCTTAACAGCTGTTTCAATTAAACAAGTTGGTTCTGTTCTATGATGTTAAATAGCATTAAAGTTACAAGGATTACCAACAGAGTGCAGCACTATTTTTTTTTAATATTTTAAAACAGCTAATTTTAAACCAAAAGTGAGTGAGCGTAGCGAACGAACTTCAATCCGGAGGCGAGTTAGCGTAGCGAACGAGCTTCAACCAGGACGTCATTGAGCCATGCGAACGAGCTCACATATGAAGTTAAACGGGGCAAAGCCCGCGGGTACAGCTAGTTTTCTTATAAAACCCAGAAAATTTAATTTTCTCGAAAATGGCCAGAACGATTTTGATGAAAATTTATGTTATAGCCCTTTAATACCTGAACAAAATTGTTTCAACTCCTATTGCTGTAAATTATGGTTCTAAAGTTATTGTAACTTATATTATCTTCCCATTAAAACAACCCATAAAAAAAAGAAACTCGGATTTAAAAAAAATGGTTTTGATTAACATTCGTTTTATATGGTCCTTATAATTCTAACCATAATAGTACAACCCCCCATTGCTACAAAAATTTGGGTTCAAAGGTTATTGCAAATTTTGTGATTCCCCTAAAAAATGTCATAGTTACTCCGACCGCCTACCCACCATAAAGGTTGTTGACAAGCTAATGGGAGAAAGTATGTGTCAGATTTACTGATACCGTTTCTTATGAATGGAAATCAAAGAGCACAATATTGTGGTTCCTATAAAAAAATTATGTTTATTTCAAACAAAATTTTTATCTAATCAGACTAAATTTACATATTTGTATTTGCATCACATACGTAATAGGTGACAATTTATGAATGTACTCAAAATTAGCACCAAAATAAGTATGACCATGTCTTGAATAACTCTAACGATTAAAAATATTCAATAGTCCTCACTATGATTTCAAGTGGTATCATATTTATTTAGTAATATACTAAGTCTCATTATCTTGTTATGGTTGTGAGAAACATTCATCAATCATCAATGTTACATAATTCACAGATGAAAACGAGGAAAACAAAGCCAACCAGGAAAAGTGGAACCAGAGGCTAATTTTAGCATTGATGCTGCATACATCTCAGCATGGGTGAAGTTCAAATGAATAGCAATACAATCCTGTAATCTGAATATTTGCATAGGATCTGGATGGTTAGTCCTGCAATGTCACGATAAAACTTTGATAAATTTTAACTCCACTCAAATAAACAAATATACGGTGTGTCTGCACCCTGACTGGACTCAAGCAGACAATTAGCGCTTGTACTTGTAGTGATGGGTCGACCCACTGGAAAAAACAATCTACTAGTCAATAAGTTGTTTTTAAAACCAGACATTTACAGTTGAGTAGTAAAATGTTCACTTAGTACAGTTAAGATTTGAATTTTTTAACCTGGTTTGACGATTTTAACTGAAGGGATCTGAATGTGTTTTGAAATGCCTAACTTGTGGCAATGCAAATCTGGCCTTAAAAAAATAAAATCTGTTTTAAAACTAGAAAATAATCAAACTAAAAATGCACCGTTAAAGTAGTGAAGACAAATTTGGTTACATGCAAATTACCTAGATGCCGTTGAATTTTGTGTTAACTTACAAACATTTCTTATTATTGGTTATGATTCCAAACACTATGGTTCGATGGCAAGTGAACAGGAATAGACAGATCATAGACATTATCACCATGTTTCATCAATTATTTTCTCTTGTTTCAGTTATGGTTGGTGAAGGGAGTGACTCTAACACATGAATAGGTTGCAAGTATAATTAGCCGTATACTATAAAGCTGCAGATCTGATAAGCCGTGTTTATGAAACAACACAAGATTTGCACTTAAATCCAAATATTCCAAGACAGTTTCACTACAATATAAGAAATCAAACCTCAAACTATTTAAAATAATAACATGTAAAGTATGTTTTACAGATAGTTTACAAAATCAATTTCACCACAAGCAACATCCAAATTAATTTCACTAGCCTAAAAATAAACCAAGAAAGGATCTAAAAACCTGGAAAGGCAAAAGGTTATATTAATAAAAGGAGTTTTCATTGAATGGTCAGAGTTCAGCTAGGTTACCTGAGAAAATTAGAACCAGGGGATAATATATAGGCCTACAGTGTTATGTCTTGTGACCCTGAAAAATCGCACATGTGAGCTAGCTGAACACTAAGTCTAACCCTTTTTCTAAAATTTAAAAACCAACTAAATAAATATTCTAGTATTCACTACCCGTACTATTGTTTTAATAAGAAATAATACACTCTATCTTTCTTACAACTAATTCTAACCTTAGTTAAATTTGTATACATACTTTCAATAACTGTACCGGAAGGTTTTAAAACTAAAATATTTCAATTTACCTACACAACAGAACTAGTTTCCGGAGTGGACACTTGTCACACCGCGAGACAACCACGTACTGTGGCCCGAGTGGGCGCTCCTGGCACTTGGCCTACCTACTGTTTACATTCCTCTCCTACTCTATTGTTCATCACCTCACTGACAACATGTCTCAGCTCCGATTTCATATCTTTGTATCTTCTCTGTGTAACTCGTTTACACGCCATTCACTTTTTGATTGGTTTCTGACGTGAATTACAAATCCCATGAATTGTGCAGGAATTTTCCCAGATTGAAAATATTTTCAAACAATTTAATGGCCGAGTTAACACAGTTCAGTTTATTTCCAAACAAGATCAATATTAATAGTAGACAACCACTTTAAGTATTTTCAAGCCACTAATGTGTTGCTTTTTCATTTTTAGTTGATTAGAAAGAGTAATCATTACAATATATTGCATTTCAAAAGTAAAAGTTGTTTGCTTAGTTTTTTTTTTACAATAATCCAGCGTATGATTGAGGGTTAGTTTGGGTCATGGGTTTTTTGCGTAGAAATGTTTATTACATTGTGATTTGAACAATTTTACCAATAAAATAAAGTTATTGTATAGTATAATTTATACACAAACTAAAGCCTGTCATCTGAAATGTGCTGTAATTTTACCACAATTTGAAAAAAAATCTCCTTGGCTTGTATTGTAGTGAATTAAATTACAATTACACTTCACCACTATTTAAAAAGTGCATTTTTCACAAAATCCTTAAAAATATTTTCTTTACAAACTAATGAGTTGCGTAGAGAAAAAAATGTCCCTGCTAAACCAAACACAAGTGACAAATTATTGATTGATAATGAATGGGTGTAGATGCACGTTGGTGATAAGCTAGGAATGTAGGGGGAGATCAATCGACATAGGAGGTGGAGGGAGTAGCTGCCCACCTTACGTCTCAAATAGAACCACTTCCCTTCCCCTTCCTCCTCCCACTAGGTTGTGGGCGGACATCAGTATTTACAGCCTTCACAACACACGTTATAATTAGTTTCTATTCACACAAATTATAAACACTATTTTTGTAAGTTTTACCGTGTGCTCGGTTTTGATCGTAACGTTTTTCTTCAACAAAGATCTTTAATAGTTGCAGCATTGGTTAGGCCGGTTTGATATGTCTTTGCGCAAATTTTATAAAAGTGTATCTCAACTTTAGTCCTAGCAGACGTTTGAGCAATACGATAGGCGTTTTATTACAAAAAATAATAAATGCTTGTAATACTTGTTTATGATTTACGAGATTTAAGCTTTTAATGTAGAAGAAGCTGAAGCTCAATAGAATTAGTCAACCTGGAACTTGTAGGCCTAGCCGTGATGAAAAGAACCCCTATACAACATTTGTTAATAAATTTAAGAAGTGTATGAAATCAATACCATGCCTCTGACTGAAGACTAAGTCTCTACTACTAAATAAGAACAGGTACTTAATTAGTTAAAGAATAAACTGTAACAAGCAAAGTAAATTGAATACACTCGGTACCCAAGCAGAAGCAAGCAAAAGTTTGGGAGTTAATTTTAACACAAGCAACATTTTAATAAAAAGAGCTGTGATAGCAGAAATAATTATCAGGTTTAAGCGGTATAGCTTCAAGAAAATCAATCATTGAAAAACCACCCATTCCATGTTTTCATCACATTCATTATCAGATGAATTTTAAACAAGTTCAGTTTACGTGTAGTCCAGGGCCGGCTTGAGGGTGTTCGACGTATGCAGCCGCACAATCAAGCCTTTTGGAGGGGCATCAAACTGACCATTCTTGGTAATTTTTTTTTTAAATTGGCAAATTCATAGAAATTGATTTAAATATTGGGCAGCAATATTCAAAATAGGAACATTGTCTCAAAACTATTACAGTTCAATTTCAAAGTTAAAACCAAAGATCTACCCCCCCCCCTCCCATAGTGTGTTCTGAAAAACAGTAGCCTGATGCCCTTGACTAACGTCCAAGGTCAGTAGAGCAGCCGTCTACGTCTGTGTGGCGGGTCGCGGAAAGGGTTGTGGTTGTGACATATTTCTACCTCCTCTTCCACGGGGGTTTTCTACTTCTAGTCAGTTAACCACCGGTATTTTATTTCGCCGATGTTTTTATTTCACCCATGAGATATGCTATTTATCAGTCTGGCGTGAGAGTACTTGCAAAATAAGTGTAAAATCATTGTAAAGTGACTACGAAGCTTAACATCATAATAGTGGTTTAAGGTACAAAAGAGTATATAACCTAACAAGTCAATCAATATTAAATCAAATTGAGAGACAAAGATTTAATGTTCTAAAAGAGGCTCAAAAGTGCACAAATACTATGTTATTAGACCTTATATTCCAACATTTTGGGGGCATGATATGTAAGTCTTGCACACTTGCAATTTTTTTCTTAGGCCAGCCCTGGTGTAATGTGGTCACAGCATAACTGCTTGATCAATTGTCATCTGATGTAGGAAATTATTCGAAGTGGTAAATTTTATTTGTGTGATTCTAGTGTAAATAATCCTTGAATAGGACCAGAATTTCCATTATGTGAATTGTTTAGCCAGTTTGTAATTAAAAATAGGTAACCTAGATGTATTGAGCACCTGACAGATTATGCCAAAGTAAATTACTAATTTCTTCAAAATAAACTTTTTGACCAAGCTAAGATGAAAGAACAAATTATCGTAAACCCAAAACTAGACTATAGTATATTTTATAGAAAACTAAAAGGAAAGTAAATTTATACTGTAGCACACTTTGTGTGTAACTTGCTCAACTATGTTTATTTTTTCTTTTACTTCCTCCCCCTATACATAGATTAGGCCTATAGAGAAAGTAGTGTTTTTGTCAACATTTTTGGGTTTGAGTTTTTAATGTATAAGTCCTATTTGGGTCTCTCTGGACGCAAAAAAGTGGTTTACGAAGTGATGTCTGTCTGTATGTTTGGGTGTATACATAATTACAGATTTCACTTGTGGTCCAATTTTGATGAAATTTGGTATGTAGGTACGCCTACTAATTCGGTATATCTAGGCATTTTTTTTCAAAAATTGTGGTTTGAAAGTTATTGTAACATATGTCATTTTCCTATAAAAACCCATATAAAAACAGAAAAAAAATTTTTCCAACAAAAAAACCGATTATGATTGTTATTTTTCTGTTATGGTCCTTAAAATTCTTAACAAAATAGTGCAACCCCCATCCTGTAAAAATTACAGTTAAATAATTAATGCAACTTTCGTGATTTTACCTATTAAATATCATAGTTAGTTGGTTGCTCTCATTGCTTACCCATGATAAAGGTTGTTGGCAAGCTAATGGGAGAAAGTATGTGACAAATTGCTGATATTGTTTATTTAAATTGGACACAGGTGGTCCTTATAGATGGGAAGTCTATCTTCGGAATAAAGTCAATAAAGTAATGATAAAATTTCATTAAACAAATTTGTAACAACCTTTTACAGATTAAGTATAGAATAATGTTATAGTATTTTATTTAGTATTTAATACTAACCTGTAAATATGCAAACAGGGTTTTACCGGGGTTTTATGGGGTAAAAATTTTTATTTCTCATTTTTGACCTTTAAAACACCAAATTTTCCCATTTCTATCTAGACCTTTTTTAAGGGCTTAAAAATCCAAATAATTTAGTAAATCAAAGTGTTTTAGTACGTTATTGGTATCGGAGAAAATTTTAAAAATTGTAAATTTAAGATTCTTATGTTATTTTTATTGAAAATATTGTAAAATGTTGTAGTTTGCTTGTTTATGGATATATTTTACTCAAACTAGGCAAATTTTCTATTTTAAACTAAGCTATTAATATTTTACTAAAATCCACACTTTATTAGTTTCCTTGTAGCAGCAAACCTAAGTACTCGTTAAACCTAATGTTAGTTAAATAGATTTGTAAAAACCAATTCAGACAAATGTAAATTCGCTTAGTCGACAGGTTTACTGCAGCAGTGGTATTCTTATTATTATTATTGTTTATCAATAACAAGTAGGATTTATACTGACTAGTTTGATGCACTCGGTAACGACACTGTCAGGAACTGCAGGAAACTTCTGTTTGAGTTCATGGAAGAGTTGCATTATGGAAATGTTGGAACAAGGGCACTCGGCCATCTCAGCCCACCACCCTCATACTGCCTGCAACAAATACACACCTCTGTCATTGTCTGGCTAATCTTGAAACGAATACACAGCTCTGTCATTGTCTGGCTAATCTTGAAACGAATACACAGCTCTGTCATTGTCTGGCTAACCTTGTAACAAATACACAACTCTGTCATAGTCTGGCTAATCTTGAAACGAATACACAGCTCTGCAATGGTCTGGCTAACCTTGTAACAAATACACAACTCTGTCATAGTCTGGCTAATCTTGAAACGAATACAAAGCTCTGCAATGGTCTGGCTAACCTTGTAACAAATACACAACTCTGTCATAGTCTGGCTAATCTTGAAACGAATACACAGCTCTGCAATGGTCTGGCTAACCTTGTAACAAATACACAACTCTGCAATAGTCTGGCTAATCTTGTAACAAATACACAACTCTGTCATAGTCTGGCTAATCTTGTAACAAATACACAACTCTGCAATAGTCTGGCTAATCTTGTAACAAATACACAACTCTGCAATAGTCTGGCTAACCTTGTAACAAATACACAACTCTGCAATAGTCTGGCTAATCTTGTAACAAATACACAACTCTGTCATAGTCTGGCTAACCTTGTAACAAATACACAACTCTGTCATAGTCTGGCTAATCTTGAAACGAATACACAGCTCTGCAATGGTCTGGCTAACCTTGTAACAAATACACAACTCTGCAATAGTCTGGCTAATCTTGTAACAAATACACAACTCTGCAATAGTCTGGCTAATCTTGCAACAAATACACAACTCTGTCATAGTCTGGCTAATCTTGCAACAAATACACAACTCTGTCATTGTCTGGCTAATCTTGCAACAAATACACAACTCTGTCATTGTCTGGCTAATCTTGCAACAAATATACAACCCTGTCATTGTCTGGCTAATCTTGCAACAAATACACAACTCTGCAATAGTCTAGCTAATCTTGTATCTTGTAGTTATGATACGTGATAGGGAGACTATTGTCTGGCTAATTTAGCAACAAATACACAATTATTCTGGAATTGTCTGGCTATTTTAGTGACGAATACACAATCCTACAATTACTCATCTATCATTGAATAATACTTAAATTATCCTATACTGATCTAAATATTGCACATATACATGATCCTACAATACAAATGCATAGTTATACAATAATCCATCTAGTTTTGCAATAAATACAAAACTGCAGGAATCTAGCATATGAGTATGGTCGATATTCTGTTAAAAATATTAGTCTTTGGATGGTTAAAATTAAATTTAAGCTTAACTTTAAATTAACCTGAAATATTTGAACAAACAACAATATTGTTCAAAATATTTCAACAACATTCTTCTTCACGTGTTTGTTTACTATTCAAAAACATACCACTAAACAGAGATTCCCAAAAATAACAAAAATTTAAATGCAATATGTTTTTACTATATTTTAAATTCATAATCAATTTTTACCTGTCACTCTTTTCTAGCACATCAAAGACACCGTTTACAAATTAGGAACACAAGTGACCAGAAAATCAATGACTCAGCTTCATCTGACCTTGAGGGATTATAGACTGCCACCCGCCTCATACGAGTCCAACAGTTCTCTAGATCTCAGAGGAAATGCCTTAGCTAAACTAACGGCAAACCAATAAAATACAGAAGTAACCAAACATATTTAGACAATTATTTTCAGATTAAGAAGATATGCCACTGGCATTAGACAGGACTTCTATAATCACACCATTAAAAAAAAGAAAAATATTGTAATATTAAATAACTGACAAAAACTTATGACTGTATCATTTGTTATCTGTTTTTGTAACAAACTTCGAAAATCACACATCCATTCAACTATAAAAGAGGTAAATTTTAATCATCTTATTCAGGTTTTAAAAGCAGTCATATTAAGAGAAAAGGGTTATTCATAAAATTTTACTCTCTGTGATGCTAAGTTAATTTTTCGGTTTGTTGTAATTGCGCTTTTATGTTGCTGGTAAAATCACAAATTTAAAACTTAGTACAAACAATTATTAATATTTTCTTGAAATGCTTTTATTTCATATTTTCCCAGTTGTATTAATCAATAGCTTACCCTCTAGAATACAACACTATTGTAAAATATGTCCTAACCAACAATTAAACAGATGGGAAATCTACTCAATACAACACACCAAACTGTAAAAAGCACTAACTTATAATTGAAAATTTTCATCAATCAAGTGGTCTATTCTCCACTATTGTACAGACCAAGATATCTTTCATCGCACAGATTTTTGGCGAGTGGTACTGCCAAAACTAACACACCAAGAGAATAATAACACACATTATGAGTGACATTAGTGGACTCTGCGTCATTACCTTGGTAAAGGTTTATGAAATGAAGCGACAAAAGCAGCTTAGACTACAAGGTGGTCTCAATCTTGCACCCACACTCTGCTGCCTCAACAAGTTTGTGTTACTCTTCACAAGCACTCTGTTGCATCTACAAGTCAGAGTTGACCTTAACAAGCACTCTGTTGCATCTACAAGTCTGTGTTGACCTTTACAAGCACTCTGTTGCATCTACAAGTCAGAGTTGACCTTAACAAGCACTCTGTTGCATCTACAAGTCTGTGTTGACCTTTACAAGTACTCTGTTGCATCTACAAGTCTGTGTTGACCTTTACAAGCACTCTGTTGTATCTACAAGTCTGTGTTGACCTTAACAAGCACTCTGTTGCATCTACAAGTCTGTGTTGACCTTTACAAGCACTCTGTTGTATCTACAAGTCAGAGTTGACCTTTTCAAGCACTCTGTTGCATCTACAAGTCGGTGTTGACCTTTTCAAGCACTCTGTTGCATCTACAAGTCTGTGTTGACCTTTACAAGCACTCTGTTGTATCTACAAGTCTGTGTTGACCTTAACAAGCACTCTGTTGCATCTACAAGTCTGTGTTGACCTTTACAAGTACTCTGTTGCATCTACAAGTCTGTGTTGACCTTTACAAGCACTCTGTTGTATCTACAAGTCTGTGTTGACCTTTACAAGCACTCTGTTGTATCTACAAGTCTGTGTTGACCTTAACAAGCACTCTGTTGCATCTACAAGTCGGTGTTGACCTTTACAAGTACTCTGTTGCATCTACAAGTCTGTGTTGACCTTTACAAGCACTCTGTTGTATCTACAAGTCTGTGTTGACCTTAACAAGCACTCTGTTGCATCTACAAGTCTGTGTTGACCTTTACAAGCACTCTGTTGTATCTACAAGTCAGAGTTGACCTTTTCAAGCACTCTGTTGCATCTACAAGTCGGTGTTGACCTTTTCAAGCACTCTGTTGCATCTACAAGTCGGTGTTGACCTTAACAAGCACTCTGTTGCATCTACAAGTCAGAGTTGACCTTTTCAAGCACTCTGTTGCATCTACAAGTCAGAGTTGACCCTTACAAGTACTTTGCTGCAGCTAATAGTCTTTGTTGAGCTAAACAAGCACTCTGTTGCATCTACAAGTTTGTGTTGACCTTTACAAGCACTCTGTTGTATCTACAAGTCTGTGTTGACCTTAACAAGCACTCTGTTGCATCTACAAGTCTGTGTTGACCTTTACAAGCACCCTGTTGTATCTACAAGTCAGAGTTGACCTTTTCAAGCACTCTGTTGCATCTACAAGTCGGTGTTGACCTTTTCAAGCACTCTGTTGCATCTACAAGTCGGTGTTGACCTTAACAAGCACTCTGTTGCATCTACAAGTCAGAGTTGACCTTTTCAAGCACTCTGTTGCATCTACAAGTCAGAGTTGACCCTTACAAGTACTTTGCTGCAGCTAATAGTCTTTGTTGAGCTAAACAAGTACTCTGTTGCATCTACAAGTCTGTGTTGACCTTTACAAGCACTCTGTTGTATCTACAAGTCTGTGTTGACCTTAACAAGCACTCTGTTGCATCTACAAGTCTGTGTTGACCTTTACAAGCACTCTGTTGTATCTACAAGTCAGAGTTGACCTTTTCAAGCACTCTGTTGCATCTACAAGTCGGTGTTGACCTTTTCAAGCACTCTGTTGCATCTACAAGTCGGTGTTGACCTTAACAAGCACTCTGTTGCATCTACAAGTCAGAGTTGACCCTTACAAGTACTTTGCTGCAGCTAATAGTCTTTGTTGAGCTAAACAAGCACTCTGTTGCATCTACAAGTCGGTGTTGACCTTAACAAGCACTCTGTTGCATCTACAAGTCGGTGTTGACCCTTACAAGTACTTTGCTGCAGCTAATAGTCTTTGTTGAGCTAAACAAGCACTCTGTTGCATCTACAAGTTTGTGTTGACCTTTACAAGCACTCTGTTGAATTTAAAAATCTTGTGTTGGTGTTCACTATTAACTTAAACTATTGAATCTGCAAGATAATCTTTACTGTTCACTCGTTTATGAAGACTAACGAGTGTAGCAAGTTTCAACTTTTCGCAGCAAGATTGCCGTAAGATCGCTCACTGGCGATTAAGTATTCCATAGAATCTAATCTCCGAACGCTCATGTTGTTGGATGCTTTTGGCCGACAATGGCATGGTGGCTCAGTTGGCTAAGGCGTTGCACTGACGAGTGAAGCATTGTGGTCTTTTGAATTCCGTACATGTGCAATACACTTTGAGCTTAATTATGTGTGGCGTAACTGGAGTGGAGGACCCACCTTAAATTAATGCTATACCTTGGGTGGAAGTTAACGGCATTGTCGAGTTTAGTAGGGATTGCAAGGGTTAATCTACTGCTTCAACAAGTTTGTGTGTAAAGAGGTAAAAAAATAATTAACAATTAAGTTATGTATTTAACAGTTAAGTCTATGGGGAACATATATTCTTTTAGGAGTTTCTTTAATAACAATATATTATATACTCTTTGTCAGGGTCATTATAATAAACTCACATTTACACTAATGACCAAGCACTTTGCTATGGTACCTATATGCCGTACAAGAATACAACTGAAATCAACAGATAAATTACTACTAAGCAATTTCCCAGTATTATAAGAGAACTGTTAAAAACCTACA